TCAGAGGTTAAGAGCACTGGCTGCTCTTCCAGAGGTCCTGAGTTCAATTCCCAGCAACCACATGGTGGCTCACAACCATCTGTAATGAGATCTAGTGCCCTCTTCTGGCCTACACACATACATGCAGGCAGAACATTGTATAAATAATAAATAAAAATCTTAAGAAAAATGTAATGTGCAATTAAGAAATACAGATTAATAGTAGTTACCTATAATAGTCAAACTTATAATCATGTTAGGTATGTTTTCAAGGTCATACACAGATATATTTATATAGATAGACAGACAGACCAACAGATAGATAGAAAGATAGTCTTTGAACACTTCAAAGAACTACAGCATATGGCATTTACTATGTTTAATAACCTAGGGTTTTTCATGACAGTGAGACAAGTCTGCTCCTGACAGCATCAATTTATTTCAAAAGAAAATGATGGGCACTGAAGAACCTTCATGTGGAGTTTGCTTTCTTTATGGCAAAAGCTAGCCATTTGGGCAAAGAAACTGCCCTTGCCTTGACTGCTTGACAGTATATTGTCCAATTGGACCAACAGAAGACAAAAAAAAAGTGACTGCCAAACTTTGCCAAAACAAAGTAGAACAGTCCTTCAAAATTCCCTCCTTCTCCAAGACTGTACAATGAAAAAAAGAAAGAATCTCCAACAAGTGGTGCTGGCATAACTGGATGTCAACATGCAGAAGATTGCAAATGGATCCATATCTGTCTCCATGCATAAAACTCAAGCCCAAGTGCATCAAAGACATCAACATAAATCCAGTTACACTGAACCAAACAGGAAGTAGCCTTGACTGCATTGGCACAGGAGACCCTTCTTAAATATAACACCAGTAGCACAGACACTGAGAGCAACAATTAATAAATGGGACCTCCTGAAACTGAGGAGCTTCTGTAAGGCAAAGGACAGAGTAAATAAGACAAAAAGGCAGCCTAAAGAATGGGAAAAGAGCTTCATCAACCCCACATATGACAGAGGGCTAATCTCCAAAATACAAACAGAACTCAAGAAACTAGACATCAAAAAACCGAACAATTGAATTAAAAAATGTGCCACAGAGCTAAACAGAGAATTATCAACAGAAGAATCTCAAATGGTCAAAAGACATTTAAAGAACTGCTAAACATCCTTAGTCATTAGGAAAATGCAAATCAAAACAACTCTGAGATATCACCTTACACCTGTCAGAATGGCTAAGATCAAAAAACACTGATGACAGTTATGTTGGAGAGAATGTGAAGCAAGGGGAACACTCCTCACTGTTGGTGGGAGTGCAAGCTTGTACAGCCACTTTGGAAATCAGTATGGCAGTATCTCAGAGAACTGGGAATCAATCTACCTCAAGACCCAATGATACCACTCTTGGGCATATACCCAAGGAATGCTCAATCATACCACAAGGACACTTGTTTAACTATGTTCATAGCAGCATTATTCAAATTATTCAGAACCTAGGAACAACCTAGATGCTCTTCAACTGAAGAATGGATAAAGAAAATGTGGTACAGATACACAGTGGAGTACTACTCAGCAATAAAAAACAATGACATCATGAAATTTGCAGGCAAATGGATGGAACTAGAAAATATCATCCTGAGTGAGGTAACCCAGACTCAAATGGACAAACATGGTATGTACTCACTCATAAGTGGATACTAGATGTACAGCTAAGGATAACCAGACTACAACCCAAGCTCCAGAGAAGCTAGCTAACAAGAAGGACCCTAAGAGGGACACATGGATCACCCTGGGAAAGGGAAATAGATGAAATCTTCTGAGTAAACTGGAGGTGAGGGAGGCAATAGAGGGGAGGGGATGGGGAATGAGATGGTCAAGCTGGAACATGGATAGAGTGGGGGAGTAATAAGAGAGATACCATGATGGAGGGAGACATCATGGGGATATGGAGAAACCTGGTGGCAGGGAATTCCCAGGAATCCACAAGGATGACCCCAGCTTAGACTACTAGCAATAGTGGAGAGGGTGCCTGAGCTGGCCTACCCTGGTAATCACATCAGTGAATACACTAACTGTCATCATAGAGCCTTCAACCAGTAACTGATGGAAACAGATGCAGAGAGCCATCGCCAAGCACCAGGCCGAGCTCCAGAAATCCAGCTGAAGAGAAGGAAGAGGGATTCTATGAGCAAGGGGCATCAAGATCATGATGAGGAAATACAGATACAACTAAATCAAGCTAGTGGGAACTCATGAACTTTAGACTAACAGCTGTGGAGCCTCCATGGGACTAAGTCCTCTGCACAAGCGAGACAGTTGTGTAGCTTGATCTGTTTAAGGGGCCCCTGGCAGTGGGATCAGGATCTATCCCTGGTGCAGGAACTGGCTTTTTGGAGCCCATTACCTATGGTGGGACACCTTGCAGTCTTGATGCAGGGGGAGGGACTTGGACTTGCCACAACTGAATGTACCAGGCTCTGCTGACTCCCCATTAGAGGCCTTACCTTTTCAGAGGCAGGGATGGAGGAGAAGGCTGGGGGAAAGCAGGGGGAGGGATGAGAGGAGGATCTGTGGTTGGTATGTGAAATGAATAAAAAAAAATCTTAATGAAAAAAAAAAAGAAAAAGAAAACACAAAATTCCCTGCTTCTCAGAAATGTCCGTCAAATATTCTAGGCCTGTAGGCCAAAGTAGGATGCGCCAACTTTAACAGAAGAACCTAGGGTTACTGTCCAGGCAGCCAGATGTCCCTGTCATTAGGTAATATTTCACTCTTCTGGGGTCTTTGATGGCGTTGAAGACTAGACTGAAAAATAGATTGATCTCTCCTCCCCCCAAGAACCCTTTTACAGGTCAGAGCTGGACTCCAACAGACTCCCACAGGTTATGAAGAGTGTGGAATGCCAGGCAGAGTTTGGATATCCTATTCAGATAGCATACCATCAAAGACTCAACACACTAAGAGAATAAGCAGGTTTACCAGTATAGTCAGGCTCTCCTCTGAAAACCAAGGGTATGGGACATATTTTCTATTGTCCAGGGGATCTCGACAGCTTTTCTGGGATAAAGTCTCCCTTCCTGGACTGGATGGGGAGAAAAGCAGCACAGCACATCATTACTACTGTGGAGGCAACATACAAGAAGGACACACCTCACTCCTTTAACTAGTCCCCACAGGTTTGGGACCTGAAAGGTAGAGTATGGCACATGCCTGTGATCCACACCCTGAGGAAGCTGAGGTGTGTGAGTGAAAACCATTAAAATGGAGTTGTGTCTACCTGTAAACAAAAAAGTGGAAGGAGTGTTATGGAATATTAATTTAAGATGTGTTACATTCGTTTATGCTGTGGAATATTTGTTTAATGATGCAAAGATGTGTTGTATTCTTTTATGTTGTATTTGTTTACCTATGAAGCTGTGTTACTTTGCCACCTAAAACATCTGATTCATCTAATAAAGAGCTGAATGGCCAACAGCAAGGCTGGAGAGAGGATAGGCGGGGCTGCCAGGCAGAGAGAATAAATAGAAGGAGAAAGAGAGAAGAGAGGAGTGAGGAAAGGAGGAGAGGAGGACATCAGGGGCCAGCTACCCAGCTATATAACCAGCAATGGAGGAAGAAGGAAAGAAAGGAACAGAGAATAGAAAAAGGTAAAAGCCCAGAGGCAAAAGGTAGATGGGATATTTTAAGTTAAGAAAAGCTGGCTAGAAACAAGCTAAGCTAAGAATAAGTCTGAATTTATTTATTTGGGAGCTGGATGGTGGACCACCGAAGATTAAACAAAACAAAACAAAAGAAAACTAACAACTACAAAGGAGTCTATATCTGCAGACTGGTAGAATGGAATTTCAGTACTGTGGAGAGACTAGAACTTTTTTAGGTTCAGAGGCTAATTACTTTATCTTGGGCTAGTGTTAGCCTTTTTGAACTAACATCATGTGATAATAAAAACCTCTTAGAAGCTATTAGCAAAACACTAGCTTTCACTAATTCTTCCACCAATCCAAGAACTACGGATGTTATCAACAGCATCTTTGGATTATAACATAGCTCTCACAGTTTTGTTGTGTCTGACTCTGATGCTCTCAACATCTTGTTGTACCCAAATCTCTGATGCACTCACCAATGTATTTTAAACATGCCTTGACTTATGATTTTCTTTGTCCTGTAAAACTATAAAAACCTTGAGAAACTGCTTCCACATTGGAACATGGAATTTGGGTTAACTCAGTCTGTGTTCCTGGGTCCAGGTTCTTAATCCCTTTAAGATGAGAGCTACGGTTTTTATGTCAGTAGATGAGAGAGGTACTCGAGACAGATGCTCAACATGAGACACAATGCAAAGAAATCAAGATAACCAACTATTAAAAATAAAGACTAGATAAATGAGATGTAGTAATAACCAAGAGAAACAAGATCACACTTACGGGAGCTCGGCCAGACTCTCATATCCTCCCAGGCTCTCAGCCAGAGTAAACACCTAGCAAAGAAAACAGGAATTTAGATTGCCCGATAACATAGTGCTAAATTCTGAAAATAAATGTTTATAATGAAATATCTCTGGCTCAGGAGGGATGAAGAGTGATAGTAACTATGAATAAACCAAGAATCAGGCAAGATACAAAGAAAAAGTCAAAATAAAGTAAGACAATTAGATGTACTGCCTTTAGACCTTTAAAACACAAAAAGTTGCTGGGATCAGTAGCCCAGGACTGTCATCCTAGCACTCAGAAGACAGAGGCAGGAAGATTTCTGTGAGTCCAAGGCCAGCCTGAGCAACATTGTGAGACCTTAGCGCAGTGAACTGTACAAAGGTCTGAAGGTTGTAGCTCAGTGGTAGAGAGCTTGCCCAGCATGTACAAGACCCTGAGTCTCATCCCCAGAACTGCAAAACCAGTCATCAGTCAGTCAGTCAATCAGTCAATCAATCAATCAACAATCAACTGAACAAAGTCAGTTTCCTACATCACCATGGTTTGGATGATGACTAAACAGTCTGCAAGTATTAAATATTATGATTAAGACAGATGGTTCCACTTTATGGTACCATCCAGAGGCAGAGACAGAAGGGTCACTGCATGTTCTAGGCCGGCCTGTCCACACAGCAAGGACTAGGGTTCTAGACTGTAGGATGAGTAAGGCCTGTCTTAGAAGCAACGCCACAGTAACAATAAATATATACATATCCTACTGAAATATACTTACATGAGCTCTGAAACTAGTTTACTTTTAGATCTGCCTCTGTTGCTTCTCCTTAAATAAATACCTATAACTATCTACCATTTCTACATGAGTCAATATTAGCACTTGTTTTTAAGACAGGGTTTCTCTGTTTACCAGTACTGGCTGTCCTGTAACTCCTTTTGTAGACAAGGCTGGCCTTGAACTCACAGAGATCAGCCTGCCTCTGCTTCCTGAATGCTGGGATTAAAGACGTGTGCCACCACATCCAGCTCTGCAGCACCTCTTAAATTAACACCTCCTTTCATTGCCTATGGAGAAGGGGAATCTTCTTAGTCCAACAGTTGCTTTGTTTTGCACATGGTCTGCCCCGAGGTTCCTGTGTGATGTGAATGAGGGGCAGGTCCTGCAGAGTACAGTCTCTCAGAGGATAACTATCGGGGTGCCACCCTGATTCATGTTCATTGGACGCGTGGTGCCTAAAAATCCTGTACACTCTTGCTCCTGTCTTCTTGCCCCCACACGCCCTTTTTACCTCCGCCACATGGATGCTGACAGGCGGCTTGGTCCCTTCAGCCACCACAACTACACCACTGCCTGGTTTGGGTGAGGTGGGTCCCACCAAAGTTCATGGGCTGGAGTCAAGGTTCTCAGTGCGACATGTTTTTAAGAAGTGGGGCTTGATGGGAGGCTTTGAGGCCATTGAGGAGAGAACTAACCAAGATACTGCTGACTGCCACCAGAACAAGCCTGCCCCCAACTGCCATTGGCCTTCCTGACTGGTGACTTCTCTTACTCATAGGAGTAAGATTCCATCTGACACTAGGCCCTCAGCACAAGGAAGGGGCCACTTGACTCTGACCTTATGCTTTTGGTCTTGAACAGCCAGTGAAGTAAACCTTTACTTATAAAGGAGCCTGTCTCTGGCATTTTGTGATAGTAATGAAAAATGGGCTAGTATATCTAGTCTTGGGTATTATAGCAGCAGTAAGGACTAAGATTATATTACAGTGACACAAAATTTACTCCTTTTTTTGAGGCAGATTCTTACTGTGTTGCCTAGCCTCATCTCAGATTTATAGGATCATGTGATCCTCCTGCTTCAGTGTCCCAGATAGCTAGAACTGCCTAACTTGATTTTACTAAATGTCTGAAGTTAATACTGTCCTTCTGATCTTACTAGATTTGAGCCAGGAGAACTTTGTTCTGTCTTATGGGAGTGGCCTGAAAGCACAAAGCTTGGGAGTGAGTATGAGCCACTGTAAGGAAATCTCAGAAGAGTTTTGAGCTCACCTTTAGATTCTTGAGGAAAGCCTCGGCATGTCGCAGAGCACCCTTGATGTAGAAACTGACCATCCCCGGGCAGCCTGTGCACTGGCGCTTGGCCAGCTCATGCTGAGGGTGAGAGGGTAGCCCTGCAGACACAAAGCACAAAAGAAGTCTCTTTCTAAAGCCACAATTGCAACTTCAAGGGAACAAGTCCACTGTCCCCTAAGTCAGCTTCAAGTAAGCCTGACAACAGGGGTACAGACATCTCTTCTGTATCTTCCCATGCCCTGGCCACATCTCCTTTCTTGACTCCATCAGCAAGTGCTCTTTCATTCAGGACCTTTGCATGTCTGGATTCCCTTGTTAATTTCATCCTTCTGGAATTCCTTAATTAATATATTTTAGGAACAAGACTGTCTCCACGAGGGCAAATCTACTTATTTTTATTAATATTAATATTAATCATATTCCCAGAGAAAATCCAGGCCCAACAGTTGTTGGATGCCTCTGGAAATACTCAACCATGAGTGTTTAACAAGTGCTACCCACTTCCTGGGGCATAAATCTTCTCTCTCCCTGTATCCAAAATGTACCCTAGCAAGCAGTGTTTACCAAATGACAAGTAGAGATCTGAGCTTATACATTTCTACTCTGGCTTATCCAATCTCCTTGAAGACAAATCTTCAAAGATAAAACTTCAAGACAAAACTCCCCTATACTCATGATCCCATAGCCACAGGATCTAAGAACAAGGTTGCACAAGCTCACGGACAGTTTAACTGGTCACTGGTAGCATAAACTCAAAGGGTGACAATGAGTCTGCTAATTCACCAAAAAAGGGCAGTGAAATGAAAAGAACCTGATGGGGATTCTGGTACATTAAGGCTCAGTGGGACAAGCTTATGTCATATTATAATGTTGAACCAATGACTGGCAGGGTCATGAGCCAGTCAACCAAGAATTATCCTGTGATTGGAGTATACGCAAGCCTCAGAGTTAAAAACCACAGAAGCATCTAGCATGTGAGGCTGTTCTTAGCACCTGACATCCACTGACTTCATTCAGGACAACATCTTGTCTATCCACTCTCCACCATGTCATTCCAGAGCCTGATACAAAGTGGCGGGCTGGAGAGATGGCTCAGCCCTTAAAGGCTAGACTCACAACCAAAAAAAAAACAAAGTGGCAATAGCCAATAAACAAATGTAAAATTATATGAAAACAGAAACTCACAAAGAATGACCCATATAAAGTCTTAATCTAGACAGAGCTGCTTATAAATCAGGTTGACATACCAGGATAAATAACCTTTTCTACCCGGGGATTCGATTCCAGGAAACGGGCCACTGCCATCCCACTCTTGAAGTGCTTCTCCATCCGGACCTGTAGAGTCTTCAGGCCTCGGCAGCAGAGGTAGCAATCAAAAGGGGAAGGAACCGCCCCAATTGCTGGAAAGAGAACGAATATTGGGCTAGCTTGAAGACACCACAGGGCTCAAGGAGTCCTCTGGTTCTTCTTTTTCAATACAGTGACTCAGAAAAATCTAAATATGAAGTTCAATGTTTGTGTTTTAGGAAGAAATTGCTATGTTGAACAGGAAGCATGGAATGAAAACAAAGATGCACTTAGAGAAAAGTGCTTTAAATCAGAGAAATGGATATTTTATGACTAGGAAACCAAAATGAGGCTTTCATTTATGAGGAGATGACAGTCTTTTATGATTCAGTGACATGACACATCACATAGTGTGGGCCTTTACATCTCTGAAATACACCACAGAGAAAATCTACAGTTTGGTCATGTTTATTGCTACACAATCAACTAACAAACACATATTATTTATGTTTTTAAAGATTTTATTTTAAATTATATATACGTGTGTGTGTGTGTGTGTGTGTGTGTGTGTGTGTGTGTGTGTGTGTGTTTGTGCATGTGAGTGCAGTGCCTGCAGAGGCCAGAAGAGCAAGTCAGATCCTGGGAGCTATAGTTACAAGTGATTGTTAACCCTGACATGTGGGTGCTGGGAACTCCGCAAGAGTTCTCTGCAAGAGCAGTTCCAGGTCTTAGAGGCTGAGCCAACTCATTCCTACTTATTTATCAAGCAGTCAGTCAACTCTCCTCCTCAACCCCTTAATTACTTTAATAGTGATTTACAGAAGAATATTTAATTTTTAATCATGTCTGTCTCTTATCTATCAGACTGCAGTGATCACCTATACTTGAGGCAAACTGAACAACCTACCAGGAATGGTATTTATTGTACAGAAAGGTGCATGTTTAGGTCTTCAGTATTACTCAAACTTAACTACCATCCCAAGTGCTTATATACATGAAAGGCAAAATTTCAATGTTTAAAACAATCCACTGAGTCTTAAAAACTCACTTCAGTTTTAATAATTTTGTTAAGCAAATAATAAAATTCACTCCTTAAATGATGTCATGAAGTCATAAAAACTTGTTATGCTATAACACAATTTGTTTGTTTGTTTGTTTGTTTATCTATCTGAGACAGGGTCTCACTTTATAGCCCTAACTGGCTTGAACCTCACTATGTAGACCAGGCTGGACTTGAACTCTCAGAGATCTTCTTGCCTATCTGCTTATGAAGTGCTGGGTGTAATTATTTTTTATCACCTTTTTTCCTTCTCTCTAAATGTGTTACAATATTCTGAGGAAGTACAAATATCAAAGGTGGTCTCTGGTGGCATAACAAGAATCCAGGCTTAGGGGGGTGGAGAGATGGGCCAGTACACAAGAATGCTTGCTGTACATGAATAAGGGCCTGAGTTAGGATCCCAGCACCCAAGTAGGAAGCTGGGCATGGCTGTGTGTACCTGTAATCCCAGTGCGGTGCTGGACAGAGACAGGGGGATCACTGGTACTTAGCTATAGGTTTGAGTAGTGACCCTGTCTCAAAGGACTAAGGTGGAGAGTGTCCTCTTCTGGACTGCACACACACATCACACACATAAGACTTTTGACCACTTACAATTTTGCAGGAAACGAAGCCGATTATTAAGGTCGTCAGAATTAACAGACACTAATCCCATGATAACATCACTGTGGCCTAAAACAAAACAAAAACACCACCATCAACAACACTTCCTATTTATTCTCCATTTCATAATTCCCAAACTGATTTGTCTCTTGAAAAAAGCCTAAGGGAAAAGCCTTATCTTTGATCATTTATGTGAACTTTATCCAGTTTTATAGCAGTGACTATATCTAACGCAGTAAAGTGAAAATCATATAAAGAGCCAGTGTCTCCAAGCTGCCAGCAAAATGAAAGCATACTCCTTACAGCAAACCCTATGAGCCATGAACGCAGGTTTGTTTATGAGACATGAGATTCTGAGTGTGGTGATGCATACCCCAGTGCCTGAGACATAGGGATATCAGAAGTTCAAGGCTAGTCTTGGCAAGTAGTGAGTTCCAGACTAGCCTCAGCTACAGTAAAATCAAAGCACTTCTTCTTATTTTACTTTTCAACACAAACCACAAATAAATCCTACACAATAGGAGAAGGGTCCAAAATGCCAAGCCCTTGCCACTGTCATCTACCTATGGAGAAGAGGGTTTAAGATTCAGGCTATGAGCTAGGCGGTGGCGGCACATGCCTTTAATCCCAGCACTCGGGAGGCAGAGGCAGGTGGATCTCTGTGAGTTTGAGGCCAGCCTGGGCTACAAGAGTGAGTTCCAGGCACTCCTCCACTGTTGGTGGGAATGTAAACTTG